TTTATATTAAGGAATAGAAATAATATCATAGTTTTTTCTAAGTGCTGCCTAACATGGTATATGAGCATTAGATACAATCAATACTTTGACAGCTTTATTTATTTATTTGGAAATAATGGGATATCATTACTAAAAAAAACAAATGTTACAAAAAAGAAAGCGTTGGAGATCCAAAAAAACAAACCAGATGCTGCAAAAGCGTGCAAGTTAAAATGACTGCTTCCATATGTTAGTACACGTGCGTGTTTAGTTGCAATAGAGTTTTATTTTTAAAGGAAAAAGGGGAGAGAGCTTTTTAATTTCTTTGAGCATTTTGAATATCCCAAGCTTTATTTAAAAGAAATCATGAGTTGGGAATAATGTTTTATATTATATTATATGGTACCTTTTGCTTTAACACTTGAGATCTGGATCTGTGCTGAGATCTGTTATGGTAAACAGTTTCTGCTTCAAATGGATAAACTTCAATGGAATTCCCAGTTTGAACTTCAATTGATGTCCCCATTGACTTTCCATTTGGACTTCCTATCACAAAACTCATCATCTCCTCCTCCTCCTCACCTTTCTTTCTCATTCCTTCATTTTGGCGCCTCCTCTGAAATATGCAACAAACATACAAGTAATGTTAATCAACTACTCTCTTCGATCCTCAAATAAGAGATGGTAGAAAAGTTTGCTTTAATTATAAATATAAAATTTCAATATATTTTATTTTCTAAACTTATAATTTTTTTTCTAAACTCTTTCTGTTGATTGCATATATTAAATGAGTTTTTCATAAATACAAAAATAAATTTCAATACAAATGATCGAAGGAAATGCCTTAAAAAACCAATTATTTTTTTTTCACTAATACCTAATTTAATAATTTTATTGATCTCTATAAATTAGTATCTAACTCCGATATTTGTGATCGGGGATCGGGCACTACACGAATTCTTCATGCCCAAGCAGTAAAATTCCTTTTCTATCAAGCAATTTCCACACATCTACTCTGAGCAAATCATGATATATATCTTTTGAATATGCCAATTAATGTTATTTTTAAGTCTTGTTTGCTAACCAGAAAGGCTCTATATGCAGACTGAATCAGAATGGCTGCTTCTTCTTCATTCAACAATTTGGAGTTGGGACTTTTCCTTTCACTCTCAGTCACGTTATTCTCCACACAAGTTTCTTCACTTTTAGTCTCTTCTCTTCCTGCTGACAAATCCTTCTCATGTATAGGCTGTGAAACCGTTTCCTCCGAGCTCTTAACCGACGCCGAATCCTCCTCGGCGAGCACCGAATCGAGCTCATCACCACACAAGTAAGATTTTACAGACACCCATCTCCTCTTCTCCACACCATTATTATTGCTGCTCACCTATCAGCATTAGAAAAACTCAGTTTTTGAGTCAGAATTGTGAGGAAATATAACTGTTTGATGCATAAAAGAGAGAGAAAGACTCACTTTGGTTTCATGATGATGAGTGGATCGACTTCTGGAGAAGACGCTCTTTACCAATTCGCCTGTGAAACCCATCACCACTTTGCAAGTCCAGGAAAGTTTTTGTTATGAATAGTGCTTAAATAGAAATTGTGGATACCCTTATTAAAATATAGGGTACATTCTCAATTATTGTCACATTTCGAAAGGTCGATTAAAACAACCGTTAACTTTTTCATATCATATGAAAATCCACATGCAAGCTTACTTTTTTTGTTTATAAAACTTTAAAGGATATAAAATTATGGGGGACACTGAGAAAGACACAGAATCCCTTCAAATTTACTCATCCTAATTCAGGATCCCGAAATGGCCTTATTACAGTAAGTCTTCAAGAACTAGCATGAGACTAAATTCTGCAGTAAAATTACCTCAATGTCTTCAATTTGGAATGATAAAATAATTTAACGAGGAACAACTGATAACAACGATTAAGGCAGTGATAACTTATTTCAATGAAATTTCTTGGTGAATACCAATGAAAACAAGAGTTTTATGAGTAACAATTTTAACTTAGCAAATGATGAGACAATAATTAAGGTAGCACCAATTAATTTTACTAAGGGCATTTAGGTCATTTCACAAAAAATTAATTCTAAAATAGTTCCTAAGGATTTCATAGGAATTAAGCTATTTAGAAGGACCATTTTGGGATATTAAATTATGAGGAATAACATTTGAGCACCAAAAAAGAAAATTAATCTCATTTTAGGATTTAAAAAAAAACAATTTAAATGAGGACTAAATGTCCTTTAATGGTAATTAAATACCTTTTTAGTAAAACATCTTCACTTTTTATTTTTTATTTTATAATGGGAAACATACGCAAATTAATAATAGAAATTAGTATCAAATTGTTGGATGCAACAAAAATTTTGACAACTTAAATTTTGTTCTTTTTCATCATAAAAAATGATATCACATTTTCTCTTATACTCTCACTTTGCCATGTACTAATTCTCAACTCATACCCTTCTTTGCATAATAGCGTTATTATATTTATGGATAGTTCTCAAAATCATTATATATATATATATATATATATCTCTAATGAAATAGCACATGCTAGCTGGATATACAAAGTTAGATCATGATCTGCGAGAGCAGGATTTGCAGAGCTGGAAGAAGGAACCTAGAGATAAGAAGGAAGATAAAAGAAGGTGAAAATTGTGTGTGTGTGTGAGAGAGAGAGAGAGAAAAAAAAAGGATGGGATTTGAGTGCTCTTTTGTGTTGTTGGATGTACTTTTGGCACATGGGAGGGTTTAGGAAAGATGTAGGCTTTTTATAAAAGCTTTGCTTGTTAATGGAGTTATGTCCATTCTTTTCTTGGTATTGCTGGCTGGCCTTATGCTTTCTCTGTCCTTTGAGATGCTTCTTTTTCCCTTTTTACTTTACTCATTGCCTCTCTGTTTTGGGACACCATGGGAAGAAGGCTTGAAATTTAGCACAAGCAAGAATCATTTGGAATGTTTTTACCGTCTTCATCTTATGCTATCGTAAATATAAAAATCAAATAACTAATTTGTAAAGACTGAAAAAGATTAGTTTAATTATTCATAAAGAAAAAATATGTGATGTTTTTTCTAAGGTATCAGATTTAATCTTTTGCATTGGGAAGTACTCTCTTTATTTTAAAAAAAAAACCCTCTTAATATATGTAGCCAATTAGGAGAGTTTTAAGGGGGGAAAAACCTATAAAAAACAACAGTGATATATTTAAAATCAAAGCAAACTCACCTACTAATAACTCTAGAACCTTAGTGTGCGCCAGCATTGTTAAACAAGTTCCATGTGTTGTAAAAAGAATGAGGAAGTCAAGACTGTATAAGGAGCCTTCTTTCCATATCTAGATAGTCATATAACATTGGATAAAGTAGCATTTTATTTGCCAATTGCATCTAGCAAGATGCATCTAACTTTTTTTTTTTTATGATGTATTTAACACTTTGATGTCATTTTTTATAATACTTTTTATCACACTAATATTATTTATAGTGCATCAAACATCCTAAATCATAAATAAAATTAGAATGTTAGATGTAACTAAATAATAAAATCAGGAGTACTAAATGCACCATGATAAAATTAAGGTATCAAATGCTGCTGAAATATAACATTAGTGCGCTAGATAATATTTTACCATGTAATATTTGTGCCCGTGCCAGACATGAGTTATTTTTCAGAATTATTATTTTCAAGTATTTGTTGAGAGTTTAATTTTAAATTGGAAATAATTTATATCTTAATTTCTTTCAGAAAAATTTTACGGTTTATTTGGGAATAATTATTGATTGAGAGGCCTATGAATTAAAAATTGAAAATATATAGTACAAATATCTTTGTTTGAACCTGTACCCCCGCAATGGCCATCATACATTTCAGGAATACTAGACACGTTCCGCACACTTGTATGAATTTTGATAAATAGATTTTAATTACAAAATAGTGTTTATTTTCATCTTTTAAAAAAAATTCTATTTTCAAATTTTCATTTCTCACTAGTATTTTAATTTAGCCGTTATAAAATAGTTAAGGCCGAAATTTTATCTGATGTGCACTCGAGAGACGTTATATAAAAATCTAACAACAATTTGAAAATGTCTATTAACTGGGGAACGTTACAGATTAAACCGGGGGGGGGGGGGGAACAAAGGATGTAAATAAAATTAAAAATGACAACCAATTGGATGAAGCTAAAAACATATTCGATAAAACACACACACACAGGGAAAAAGTAAACCTTATTGGGCGTGACAATTTTAAAATTGACAGTTTCTGAATATCACCCATACAGTAATACCAAATACTCCCTTCACTGTTAAATATACTCATCCAATCCTAAATATAAGACCGTTATCCACATTAATATAAAGGTCTTATATTTAGGACTAGAGAAGTATTAAGTTAATAGAAAAATTTATTTTGATACTACGTCTCATCCTAGTTATCCGTCCTAACCATAAGACCTTATTTATAGACTACAAACAATGTTTTATAATTAGAACTGAAAGTAGTATTAAATATAAAACTTTAATTCACTTCACCTCCCAACTTATAATTTTTTCATGAACTCTCAATATTAATTGAACACACTAAATGAGTACCATCAAATGCATGATTAAAAAAGATACTTTTAACGTAACCAACACTTTTTTTTACATATAACTAAACCAATTTTTTTTTAATGCATGTGATTTAGTTATTTAATTGCCACATTCAAGACAGAAGGGAGTAAGTACTCAGGGCTCTGATGAGCCCTGGATGCAAAGGGCTTTTTTCACGCTTCTAAGAAATTAGAACAGACCTGAGCTCCCGCAATTTGATCAGATCAATAAGAGGTGTTACCATAAGAACAGAAGTAAAGGAGGGAGATATTGGTGGAGGGCTGAGTAGAATCCCCAGCACAGAGCTATGAGGCATCCATGCTGGAGATGGAGCTGGCCAAGAGCTCATAGATTACCCGAAGATCTGGTTCAAGATACACACTCAAACTCGAACTCAACCTCGACCTTAGCAGTGTAAATAAACCGTTTATTATGCTTTAGATAAAGAAACTACGGCTAAATTAGCCACAATTAAGCAGTAAACCATAATTAAACTCCGGCCATGGTTTTTGTATTGATCCTTCTGGCTAGTTTAGCTAGGGTTCTATCCTTTTTTAAGATGAAATCAACAGCTACATGAATTCAAGTAAAAGCACAAACACATCAATCCAACTATATTCCAGATTGGTCATTTCATGTCTATTTAATGTAACACAATACTTGTTGGAAAGATCTATTTAAGTAATGAAGGATGACAACCCAACTACCATGAACCTGGAGCACCGGCCGTTGGGTTCCTGAATGCGGCGAAGTCCCAGTATGTTTTCAGTGAGAACGGTGGGAAAACAGTACAGCCTTCTTCCGTAATTTTAGATATCTGCAATATAAAAATACTCATATGGCCATAGATAATAGACTCAAACAGATGAAGGAAACAAAATAATTTAGTAAATATCATGGTCTTATACTGCGCTTGTATCCAATGACAGATGCTTTTTCCCCCCCGGGGGGGGGGAGGGAATCTCCACAGGACTAGGAACATATATAAATAACTCCATTTACCGGTCATATCGACCATACAAATTCACAAGATGAAAGATGATGCATTAATTTTTAGAAAAATATTAAAAAAGACCAGTATATATCTTGTGGAATGCGGACATTCCTACCCTTTAATCTTTTCTAGCAAAACACGTGTCAACCTGTATAATATTTGGCTCTAATTCCTAATAATTGCTCGGGCTGACATAATCCTATGAAGTATTAATATAATGATCACTACATAAAAATCATTACAAATCAGTATGCTTTCAAATTATAACCTTGCCCCTTCATCCTGCATTACAAATCACTGTACGAGAATAATGCTCTTAATTTATCACACACACGATTCTCCCTTCTTTCCTCACAATACAGGATCCTAACAGGAGGGAGAAAATCATGATTCAATGCCCCCGCCATCTTCTCATATTCTATAGATAACCAAAACTAATCAGAATTCTGGGAATTATCAGTATACTGCAAAACTAGAAAACTATATCTGAAGTGTCAAGAAAACGAAAATTCTAACAACCCACTGAGGGAGAGGAAAAATCAAAGGGAACATATTAGACAAACTGCTCAAGATATTATTAGCATGGTCCCTGGCGAAAGGTCAACTGGTATTCTAGTGCCAAGTGATGAACTAACAGTGTTACTAACAGTTATAAGTTGATAAGATACCAATGATCACATATAAAAGGCACAGAACTTGTAGGAAGGTGGCAGACAGTGGGCTGTATTTTTTTTTTTTTTTTTTGATAATGTGCAGGGAAGAAAGTTTATATAATGGGAGTGAGAGCACTGGCCCCAAATCACCTATAATGAAGCATAACAACCATCTCATACCACTAACACCACTTTGCATGTTTTATGATTTGCAACAAGAAGAATTATCCAACTAAGTAGGGTTGGCTTATTTACAGTTTAGCTTATCTAAAATTAAATTTTTTAAATCCTAGCACTATAAATAGCTATCCACACGTCCTTTATTGGTAGTTGAAGTTATTTTCGTTCCTTGTAGTAGGGCGATTTGCCCACTAAGTTTTCAGGTTTAGCTTATTTAAAATTAAAATTTTTCCATCCTAGCACTGTAAAAAGCTATCTTTAGGTGCTTTATGGGTAGCTTGAAGTTATTTTCATTCCTCAGAGTAGGGAAATTTCCTTGACTATTGAGCTTGTGAGCGAGATCCTTGCTCTTATTTCTGTAATAGATTTTTCTTTCAATAAATTATTTAGTTTCATATCCTACATTAACATCCATCACAAATTCAGATAAAATTTTTGAGATTTTAATTATATGGTGCTATGGAGCAGGGAATGGAAGAGAATGACGTGTAAAGGATAAAGGACCTGAATCTTGTTGACAGCAGACCTATCCCGATACAAAAGCACACGCATGCATTTTTCCAGTAATTTAACACCTTCTTCAAAGGTCAAATTTTCATTCCATTCGTCACGAAGAATTGGCCTAGCCAAATGATTTCCAAGCCCCGTTGCGACATGGTCATCTTCAAAATTAATGCCAATCATGCTAACCTGGAAAAGATTCATAGTTACAAAATCTAAGTACCAAATGAACCTCGTAGATAAACTTACAGTAGAGTCAAATAAACAGATAGAAAACAAGATACCATGCCAAGATATTTCTGCCCGTTTTTAACACCACCAAGTATAAGCGAGTTCCACAGTGGATTGAATTGGTTACGCCTATTATACATCACACGAGTCAAGTAATTGTGCACCTCCTTAGGACCCAAAGAATTGCCATCATCCCACATATTGTCATATAGGCTGCAACAATCAACACCCAAAACCAAAAATTACATGGAGATGTTAATGATCATAGAAGAAGGTAAGGGTTTCAGGCGAAAAGGGGGAAAAGAAGTGGAATAAAATAAATTAACCAACACAACCAATGAGGAGAAGAAAAGCACGTGCAAACTGTTTCATTTAGCATCTCCTTTTATCATTCTCCCATGAAATATTTAGGGCTTACATAAGTTCATCAAGGTAGCGAAGAATCTCCTGAAAATCGCTGATTTCACCACTGGCACCAAGAAGAGTATGCTTTCCAACAGGCTTCAACCGTTCAATGCTCTTGTATCGCAGGGTAGACCCATAGGAACCTACCATAATGAAACCATCATTACCTCATAGCATGAGACAAAGACAACAGAATAAAGCCTTTATTCTAGAAGTTCAACTCCAAAGAGCAGGCAGTTATGATAAGAACTTCTAAAAAGTTCATGCCTTACAGAAATCCTCAAAAACATTTTAATCAAGTTTAGATGCCATTTAACATTTTGTATGAACGTATTCAATGACACCCATAGTACAGGAATTTAAAAGTATCAATCTCCACTTTTAATAGCGGTATCTCTGGAAGTCTCCACAAATAATCATATCAATCATAAGAATCACAGCACAACAGTCAACCAGAAGAAGGTGTATCTTTTATTTTAAAATAAAAATCACATGAAACAAATAAAAAAGAGCCACAAATTCAATCAAATAAGCTGAAGCTGACTCCAACTAGCCTCATATGCTTCTATTTGATGATGACAAAGAAAATCATTAATGCCCAATTTTTTTGCCAGCAAAGCATTAATTCAAATGATCAAGCATACAATGAAGCTGCAATATCACATGAATGAACATACAATAAACTTGTAAGTTGCAACTAACCTCCCATATCAGCAGCCATAAGAATCCCATCTTTGTATTTGATGGCTACAACTGATGATCCCGTTACGTAAGGGTACCTAACAATGAGGGAGGGGGGAATAGGATAAAAACAATATCTTTATGACTGCATAGTTCAATGCTTAAATAAAAATTAAGTTCTCCAGTTCAGAACCACTCAAACCCTAAAATCTGCATATCTCTGTTACGAGGAGGGGGGAGAGAGAGAGAGAGAGGACATACAGAGTTCTCTCTGATTCAGCCACAGAGCCCATGATGCCTGGAGTTATTTGGACTGTAAGAGAAAAGAGAAGATCGCAAGTTTCTCCTTTCTGACGATGTCCTGAACTAATATATATTAAACAATAAAACAAACCGAAGATAACAAATTTTCCAGGAAAATACCCAAAAAAACTATTAAGATACACAATTAAGAAGCATCACTTTTTACATGCCAGCTTAGATTAAGAAGTATTAAAAAAAAAACTACATAAATTCATTAATTTTACATTTTAAACTAAAATTTAACAACATTTGAGTAATCAACAAAATAGTATAACCAAAATAAAATTAATTTTGGAACACACTGATTCATGGCCACCTGAAAGCCAATCTGACTCATAGCCTCAGTGCAAAGTATTAAACAACAATTAAATTGCCAAAAAATACTCATTTCAGCATTAGCACTCCTACAAAATTTGATCATGATCTATCAGTTTGCTACAATTTTAGCAAACATGGAGCTTTGGACATAAGACAAATTCTGAAATTCTGCCTAATGGAGTGTATCGATTAAGGTGTTGTTCAAGCTCAAGACGGTTTTCCTGCCATTAACAGGAAGGAAAAGACTCATCCTATCCTTACATTTTCACTCAGTGAATTTGAGAAATACTGATACATGTGAAAGGCTTATTTTAATAGAAGGGTCGTTAATTTTGGCAAATAATAGGGCAGGTTTACTGTTACCTTCTAGAGCACTAGGTAGCTTTCACCCTTGTAAGAAAGATAACAAAATTCAAGGAGTGGGGCATAGGAAACTGCTGCTCCAGAGAGCCTCTAGAAATAAAAGATATGACCCAGGAAGCAAAGCAGGAGAATCGGAAAACTGAGCTGAAATAGAAGGCAGACGAGATAGGTGAGCAACACAACAAGGAAGTTGAAGCACTGTTGCAGGAATTTTCTGAGGTTTGCCAAACACCCACTTCATTACCCCGCTGTATTGGTAACGCCCAGTCTAAAAACAGTTGTTGAAGAACATTTCTGGCAGATGTTGAGTAATGAAATCATAAAATCAATCTGCGGTTCATTTGCCTCTCTGGGGATCTTATTAAAAAAATAAAAAGAAGGATGTGTCACCACACTTTTGGGTAGAACATCGAAAGCTTAATGACCAAAGCATAGAAGAACTAGCTTTCGACACTCGATACTTAATGATTTGCATGGAGCGACTTATTTCACTCAATTGGATACTAGGGCGAAATATCACCAAATCAGAATGAGCCAAGGAGATATTCATCAAAAATGTGTTTAGGACACAAGAGGGCTTTCATGAAATTTTGGTGTTGCCATTCAAGTTGATCAATTCTCCTACAACGTTCAAGAGTTAATGAATAGCTTATCAAAGCAGTATCTTAGGAATTGTTTCATGATATTTTAGTCTACATTAAGACGTGGGGAGAATGAATTGGCAATAAGTAAGCTAGCTAATCGAAATTGTTCCCAACATCAGTATCGAAATCCGATCCATCACATAATGCAAATGCAGGTTTGAAACTGTATAAAGAAAAAAAAAAAAAAGAATTGCGACGATTAGTTCGACAAACAGAAGCTTTCCTTAAATTAGGGATCTATAAAAAATAAATTCAACAGACATTAGAGCCAAAGATGGGAACCACATGACTTACAGTTGAGTGATCGAGAGGAAGAAAACTGGGAAAACGAGAATTATTTCGGAGAGTAGAAGATAAACGAGGAGAGCGAGTCAGTCCGAAGCGCAAGGGACAGTAGAAACGGGGAACCCCAATGTTAAAAGAGTTCAGGGTCGATCCAAAGGGTTGGTATTCTTTTTTTTTTTTTTTTCCCGCTGTTCAAGAAAGCAACACAGAAAATATAAAAGTATTAAAGAAAATCCATTCATGAAATTTTTTTTTAAAAAAAAGACAAGTTAAAAATTGCAATATTTAGAAAAAGAAGCGGTGCATGTTCTAATATTTTATAAATGTAATCAAATAACTAAAATATTCTTGTACCAGCTTTTTTTTAAACGAAAAAAAGCTATCAACTTATCATTATAAGTATATTTCTTGTCATTAGTTGTTTAATATTTGTTATTGTCAATTTACTACTCATCTGGTCCTTAATATAAGATCTAATTCTTGAGTTGGTTTTGGTCCTAAATATAAGAGCCATTTCTCATATTTATTAATTTTCTCTAAATTATCCCTATGAATACTTCCTCAACCATAATCAAGCAGAAGAGGAAGAAGGAGTATTAAAAAAGATGATTATGGTGTTTCATGAAAAATGTATCACTTTTCTTATAATTAGCTAACTTACCTAACTTCCTTAATCTAATCAAATTAGTTAAATGAGTCTTATATTAAAAACCGGAGGAGTACTTATTAATAATATCTTGTTATTGTTGACATTTTTTGTCATTTGCTATTTAATACTTACCATTGCTAGTTCACAACTTGTTAGTAAACTTTCATACAGGGGTATTTTTGTCATTTAATTATATTTGCATGATTTGGTATTTTGTAAATGTAATCAAATGACTTAAATGTCCTTGTATCAGCTTCCAAAAAAAAAACTATTAAACTTATCATTACCAATATATTTCTTGTTATTGATTGTTTAATACTTGTCATTGTCAGTTTATAACTTATTAATAAATATCTTGTTATTATTAACATTTTTCTCATTTGCTTATTTAATACTTATCATTATTAGTTCACAAATTGTTAATAAACTTTTTCATACAAGGGCATTTTCGTCTTTTAACTATATTTGCATGATCTAGTATTTGTAAATGTAATCTAGTGACTAAAATGTCCTTATATCAGTTTTTTCGCAAAAAAAAAAAAAAAAGCTATCAAACTTGTCATTACTAGTACAATTTTGTCATTGATTATTTGATACTTGTCATTATCAGTTTACAAATTATTAATAAATATCTTGTTATTGTTAATATTTCTTGTCATTTGCTATCACAACTTGTTAATAAACGTTTTTGTACAAGAGCATTTTTATCATTTAATTCTATTTGTAAAATATCAGATCAAGCATAACTTCCTCTGAAATTTTGATCTCTTATGTGCCTGAATCAGAATATTGTAATTTTTAATTTTTTTAAAGTCATTTTCCCAATTTTTGTGGCATATTTTTTATTTCAAACTTTATAAAATCGTTAGGACTATTCTAAACACCCACCAAGATACAAAGCATTTTCTGGGCAAAACTTTTTTTTGGGCGCAAAGAAGTTCCGGACAAATATTAAAATCTCGAGCTTAAACCACAGCGAAACAAGTCATCCTTTTTTTTTTTTTCCTTTCACCTTTCCTTTGGGCCTAAAAAATATTGGATTAAGATGTAAATTTGTCTCAGGAATTACTCAAGAGAGCTGACACTCAGAAATTCTTTTTGTTACCCATATACCCCCGAAAATTTAAAATCGTAACAATATCGCCTCTTACGATTAAAAATGTTAACAGTTAAAATTACTATTTTGTTAGTTAACGTTAGTCTTTTTAACAATATGAGACAATATTACTATGATTTTTGAAGCAAATTTATACCCTAAAAAAACTTTCAAGTGCTCAGCTCTTCTAAATAAAAATTTTCAGAATAATTTGTGCTTTAAACTCAAAAATATATTAAGAAGGAAAATGACATTTATGTCCAAAAAAAATGTTTTAGGATGAGACTGGACGTTGAATGGGCTAAAGCACTGGTTCAAGGTGTAACGATCAGTCTCTAGTGAGACCAATTTTAATTAAATTAATATATTTTTTAAAAAAACATGTATGACAAATGAAAATATCTTATAAACTAGGGAAAATTTCATTCAAAGACCGCTGAAGGTAATTAATTTCCAAGAGCCCCAAAACAATTTGAAAAGCCACTACAGGACTATGAGGGCAAATTGAAATTAACTTCAAAACCAAAAAGAGAGTGTTGCCCCTCAAACTATTATTTTGAAATTTGAAGTCTTTTCTCTCTCTCTCTCTCTCTCAACTCCCGATACTTGAAGCCCCTCTCACTCACTCTCTAAAAAATCCAGTCCACCCATTGAAGGAGATCGTTCGCCTCGCCGTCACTACTATTGTGGTAAGGAGAGACTTTGCCATCGTCATTGCTTTGCTAAGGAGAGCCTTCGTCATCGCCCTGCTCTAGCAACCAGAGCCTCCATCGCTGCCCCTTCAAGTGTTGGACGAGAGCCTTTTGTATAGATATGAAGCTGGTTAAACTAGAAAAAGTTGCAGGAACTCGAACTCTACATGGCTTTATTGCTGAATATAGTTTGCTTTTGTTTTAATATACAGTTATTTTTGTGTATATATGAACCTTAATATGTATTTTTGGAATGGTTCATGAAGTGACTATGACAACACGTGAGTTGAAATCTATTTTGTATAGTGCTATGAATAGATAGAGAATTTCATGGTGGTACTTGGAGGTGAACTACCCTAGGTACTAAACTAAAACTAGCTAGCAACTATATAAATGTATGAACAAATTAATCGACTTGCAAATGGACGTATTTTTATTATTAATGTATGTATCCTTGTTGTAAAGTTCCTAATTCTACTTGTGAACAGTCACTCCCAGACTTGTGAATTGATGTGTTCAACTTTTTGAATGAAATAAATCTACTTGAAAAAGGACGTATTTCTATTGTTAACGAGTGTATCCGTGTTGCAAATTTCCTGATTTCACTTGTGAACCCTCACTTCCAGACTTGTGATAAACTTTTTCAATTAAACTAGCTCACTTGCAAATGGATATGTTATTCTTATTAATATACATATCCTATTTGCAAATTTTCTAATTTCAGTTGCAAATGATCCCTCCCAGACTTGTGAATAATCATGTTCAACTTCTTGAATTCAACTAGATCACTTATAAATGGACAAATTCTTGCTGTTAATATACTTGTCCTTCTTGCAAATTGCCTGGGGAGCACTAATCACAATATCTCTAGTGTGATAGTCATTTTCTATTGCTCATGAGTTCATTCATTATTTTGAGTTTTCATTGATGCACTTGTGTCAATCTATTGACGGTACTTATTGTTGTGCCATAGGAATAATACACTTCCCTAAAGTCTGAGTTGTGGTGGCTAGTTACTCACAAAAGAAATATGCAATCAGCCGCTATTGCGAAACTACTTCAACGGATAAAGACAACAAAAAACAAAGCAATGACATAGTAATTATTATATTTTTATTTCAAATGTAATTTAAGCTATTTTAGAATGTGTTAAAATTTATGTATAGAGAATTTGCACAATTTCCATTTTAGGGAATATACAATGGGTAGATTACATGTCAATTAATTACAATTTGTTGTCTTTCCCCACTAACTTGCAAGTATTTGATGTACTATTGATTGCAATAAGGATACGTGATTAACACTTTGATGTCATAGGTTTTTGCTATCATATTGGCAATTTAAATTAGAAAATTTGCAATAAAGATATATGGATTCACAAGAGAAACTCATCTATTTATAAATGGACTAATATAACTAAAAAAGTCATACATGATTATTCACAAGTCTGAGGAGCACTAATCACAAGTGGAATTAGGCAATTTGCAATACGAATATGCATATTAACGACAATAACCCGTCTATTTGCAAGTGATCTAGTTGAATTCTAGAAGTTGGACATGATAATTCATGTCTGGGAGGGACTATTTGCAACTGGAGTCAGGCAATTTGCAAGAAGAATAAGTATATTAACAGCAAGCATTTGTCCATTTATAAGTGAGCTAGTTGAATTCAAGAAGTTGAACATGATTATTCACAAGTCTGGGAGGGATCATTTGCAACTGAAATTAGGAAATTTGCAAATAGGATATGTATATTAATAAGAATAACACATCCATTTACAAGTGAGCTAGTTTAATTGAAAAAGTTTATCACAAGTCTGGCAGTAAGGGTTCACAAGTGAAATCAAGAAATTTGCAACACGGATACATTCGTTAACAATACAAATATGTCTTTTTGCAAGTATATTTATTTCATTCAAAAAGTTGAACACATCAATTCACAAGTCTAGGAGTGACTATTCAAAAGTAGAATTAGGAACTTTGCAACGAGGATACATATATTAACAATAAAAATACGTCCATTTGCAAGTCGATTAATTTGTTCATACATTTATATAGTTGCTAGCTAGTTTCAGTTTAGTACTTAGGGCAGTTTACCTCCAAGTACCATCATGAAATTCTCCATATATTCATAGCACTATACAAAATAGATTTCAACTTACGCATTGTCATAGCCACTTCACGAACCATTCCGAAAATACATATTGAGGTTCATAATACATAAAAATAACTGTATATTAAACAAAAACAAACTATATTCCACAATAAAGTCATGTAGAGTTCAAGTTCCTACAACTTTTTTTAGTTTAACTAACTTTCATATCTATATAAAAGGCTCTCGTCCAATACTTGCAAGGATGGCGATGGAGGCTCTGGTTGCTAGAGCAGGGCGACGACGAAGGCTCTCCTCAGTAGAGCAATGACGATAGCAAAGTCTCTCCTTACTACAACAATAGTGACGGTGAGGCGAACGATCTCCTTCAATGGATGAACTGGATTTTTTAGAGAGTGAGCGAGAGGGGCTTCAAATATCGGGAGTTGAGAGAGAGAGAAAAGACTTCAAATTTCAGAATAATAGTTTGAGAGGCAATGCTGTCTTTTTGGTTTTGAAGTTAATTTCAATTTGCCCCCATGGTCCTGCAGTGGCTTTTTAGATTGTTTTGGGGGCTCTTGGAAATTAATTGCCTTTAGCGGTCCTTGAAT